GCCCCAGCAGATTTACCCTCATACTTTATTTGCCATAATTGAGCAAATGGAATGGGACCACCATGATTGACTTAGACCATTATTTTTCATGTTTTAATGATGACACACAGTAGGAAATAAATTTTATACCATGACCAAGATACCCACCACACATATTTGTGTGTATGTATATATATGTCTCTTTGTACAGTTAAATATAATTAAAAGTAAAAGTTTCTCAAAATAATACTTACCCTTATTACCTATGATAAAGTTAAATACTGTTTTATTTATATTTAAATATAAGGAAAGGTTTAATTTAATGTATAGGTATAAGTTGCCCATGAATTTGTTTTAGTCCAGAACACATGAGGACAATGAGCATATATGGTACATTGGTGAGCCTATTCTTTTAAATTTTTTTTTTTTTTTTTTTAAAGATTTTATTTTTTCCTTTTTCTCCCCAAAGCCCCCCGGTACATAGTTGTGTATTCTTCGTTGTGGGTTCCTCTAGTTGTGGCATGTGGGACGCTGCCTCAGCGTGGTCTGACGAGCAGTGCCATGTCCGCGCCCAGGATTCGAACCGACGAAACACTGGGCCGCCTGCAGCGGAGCGTGCAAACTTAACCACTCGGCCACGGGGCCAGCCCCCCTATTCTTTTAAATTTTGATTAAGATTGAAAATAATTTTTCACACAAATAGGTCATTATGAGTGGAAGAATAATCTTAGTAATAATTGACACAGACAAGAGTCATCACTGCATTCTACACTCAAGGAGACAGGATTACTCAAGTGCATGAATACCAGGAGTTGGGGATCATTGGGAACCATCTTGGAAGCTGCCTAGCATACAGTGTAAAAAGATAGCACAACTAAACGCAGTATGTAATCCTAGATTGAATTCTGAACTGGAAAGAAAATGCTGTAAAGTATAATTGAAGCAATTGATGAGATTTGAGTATGGGCTGTGCATTAGATAATGTTATTGTAATAACATTACAAGAATGATAACTTTCCTGATTTTAATTATCATACAATGATATGTAAGACAATGTCCTTGATATTTAGAAATACGCACTGAAGTATTTATTTGAAGGGAGTCTATAAGGAAATTCTTTGTACTCCTCTTGCAGTTTTTTTCTGAATTTGGGTTTATTTCAAAATTAAAAGTTTAAAAATGCCAAGAGAGATTGCTTTTCAACTGAAAGAAATATGTATCTGATTCTTGAATTCACATATAATGAGTGCATAATATGTATGTCATGGTGTTTAATCCTTTTAATATGCTGTTGGATTTGTTTTGCTAGTATGTTTTTGAGGATTTTTGCACCTATATCCATAAGGAATATTGGTCTGTAGTTTCGTGGGGGTATCTTTGTTTGGCTTTGATATCAGGATAATACTAGCCTCATAGAATGAGTTAGAAAGTGTTCCCTCCTCTTCTATTTCCTGGAAGAGTTTGGGAAGGATTACTGTTAATTCTTCTTTAAATGTTTGGTAGAATTCATCAATGAAGCTATCTGGTTCTAGACTTTTCCTTTTTGGAAGATTTTTGGTTACTGATTGAATTTTTTTACTTGTTATAAGTCTGTTCAGATTTTCTTATTTCTTTAGTCAGTTTGGGCAATTTTGTGTGTTCCTAGGAATTTGTTCATTTTTTTTCCTTTTGCAGGTTATCTAATTTCATTTATATTGAACAATAATGCATTTTTACACCGTGTAAATATATCTGATTCAGTTTTATGTGAAGTTATATTTAAAACATACAAAATAAATCCTTCATAGAACTGCCTTGCCTTGCATATCTGACCTAAAATGCATTTATCGTGATGATATTTTGAGCGTTCCAGTTGCTTCATCTCCTTACCAGCACTTGATGTTTTCCATCATTTTCATTTTAGCCATTCTAGTAGGGATGTTCCAAGTGTTTTTGTTTAGTTTTTAATTTTGAAGACTTTAAACTGTCATCTGCAAGAACATTATTACCAAGAATATATCTGTGGTCTGTCATTTTTATTGAGTTTTGCATATTTGTAAAATCACTTTTTAAATCGTTTTAAGTTTTATAATTATTTCTTTATATTTAAAATGTGTCTCTAATCAAAGATTGGTGACTGGAGTCAACATTTTCTCTTCAATTTTGTCACTATTAAACTTCCAAATCTGGTAGTCGAGCTTGCTTTATTATTCTTTTTTTAATTTAAAATTTAAAATGATTTACTTTAAATACAACTTATAATAACTCAGTTAAAATGTTACAACTGCTGATAATTTGAAAAATGTTATACTCAGTAACATCCTTTCTGAAAAATACACTGAAAGTTTGTAACTAAACTTGGTTGAGAGAATCAACACTTTGCCACTAGATGATAAACTTCTCATACTTTTTTGATACTTTGCTTCATAACTCTGTAAAGTTACTCTTTAACCTCTCCATCAATCTGTGGTCAAGTGACCATCATTTCTTAGAAGATCAAATGAGATATCAGTGAACAAAACACACGTTCCTGGCCAATTTGCATGTTCCTCTCACGTGATAGTCTCAGTTGGCTGCTTTATTTGTTGTATCGTTCATTCCATGTTAAGGATATGGGCAACATGCTCAATGTGGTCTATTCTGTTTCTTTCTTGATATTTTTCTGTTGGTGGCAGGCCACCGAATTAAATTTATGACCCACCAATTGGTCACAACCCTCAGTTTGAAAACCACTGGTTTTAACCAGTCATTATCATCTGCTGGAGATGGGCCCAGCTACCCCAAAGCATATGGCCTTACAGAGGTCGGGTAGATGCTTGAAACACAGTCAGGCTTCTGTTTGGAAGGAGGAAAAGGGGTTGGAGGCTAAAGTTAGGATGGGCAACCAAGATTGTCTGCTACAGGGACTGCAACTCTTGGGTATCCCAAGCATCTGGTGTGCTTTGAAGTATGTGGAGCTGTTGCCTTTATTCTAATGACTCCCAACTAGTACTCTTAGTTTTTCCTATTTGTTTATAGTTTTGTCTCTTTCCTCAGATATTTTTTCTTGTTGCTATCATTGTGCTTGCCTCTACATTGCTGTCCACCTCCTACTCTCAGTTTCCAACTCTCTCTACTTTTTCATTTTGTTGCTTCTCATCTACTTAAACAAAGAAAAGACTATCCAGCTTCTTAAAAGCTGTGGCTCAAGAGTAATCAGGTCTCATTGAGGTCTTTTCCTTTATGATCTTTTTCATGATTTTATTTGCTTATTAGACTTTTTAAATTACATCTATATTTTTTAGCTGTGGCCTAGGTAGTTACCAACTAGGTTATCTCTGAAATACGTAAGTACTCCTGCACGCTTCAGTTTTCCAGAACAGAAACTGTGTTGTTATTAAATGATAATAATACTTGCATACTCTATTTACTATATTGTCTTCCCAAGAATTTAAGGTTATCAAACCTATCCTTATTTCCTTGAGACATATGAAAAAGAGAAGGATGCTCACCCGCAGTTTCATATCTGAGAACAACCATTAAAGGATCTTTAATTTTAGAATTATGAATAACATCAAGTGTATTATGACCTATTCATTGAGGTAATCTGTCTTTAATTAGCCAACGAATATTTACTTTCAAATATTGCATTTCATCACTTCTAAGATGCACATTTTCTCACATTTTAACATCTCTCAAATGAGGATGCGTCTTACAATTAATGGTGTCCTACAGTCGCTGTTGGTCCTGTGGCAAATCATGGTGTAATTTCTGCATGAACTTCATTGTTAATCCTGGATTATTGTTGTCCAAAATCTGTTCTGGTGATAGGAGTACTGTTAAAGCTTACAGAATGAGCATATGAAGTTTGAAAGAAAATCACAGAGACTATAGAGTATTACTCTTTTAGGAAATGCTACATTACCTAGGCTCTTGATAGCATAAAAGACAATACTGCATGGAAAAACTTGGATGTCTATGATACTAAAAATTGATTAAGAAGAGTTGAACGCTGAATGTGAAGAAATTTTAGGAATACCTTAACCAACTTAGATTTCTTATATTTTCCTTTTTATCTATGCGTAACACGTGATTTTAAAACTTTCTAAGTAAGTCTGATAGAGTCAATACTTAAAAAATAAAATTTCTAAGTAGTAAGAAAGCATGTGTCATGGTTTGATTGGCAGTGTATTTTCCTTCATAGTGGTACAGTCATGTGTTGCTTAACGATGAGGGTACAGTCTAAAGAATACCTTGTTAGGCAATTTTGTTGTTGTGTGAACATGATAGAGTGTACTTTCACAAACCTAGGTGGTATCGCTGACTACACAGCTAAGCTATACGGTACTAATCTTGTGGGACCACCATCATATATGAAGTCTGTCATTGACCAAAAACGTTGTTATGCAGTGCATGACTGTACATAAAATAAAGGTGCTTCTTATAAGAAATTGTATCTTCAGTTTGCTGAAACATGAGAGTTTGAGTTACTGTCAAACTTATTGAGTATTAGTGTACTGCTTCCTATTATAATTTACGTTTTCTTCTCTTAAGAAGAACTAAGGGACAGAAGACATATGCAAGTGAAGATAACACTACAAGGCAGTGCATGAATAATAGAGACCAGTATGTCTCAAAGTGTGCTCCGGAAACCGGCGGCCGTGGATTACCTGGGAGCTTGTTAGAATGCAGTTTCTCAGACCCCACCCCAGACCTACTGAATCAAAAACCCTGAATGTGGGTCCCAGCAACCTATGTTTTAATAAGCCCTACAGGTGATTTTGATGGCAAGCTAGTTTCAGAACCACTGCTCTGGTAGAATTTCGGAAAAGGGGAAAATACTGGTGCTGTTATATTTGAGTCAGGTGTGTGAGTAAGAGAGCAAGAAAACACGTTCCTTAAGTTCAGCTCAATTACATCTGCTAACCATGTGTATAAGAGAAATGCAGAAATGTGCTACACTGTGTCTCAGCCAGCTACCAGTAATATAGGCAAGGTAATGGAATAGTCCAAGAACTGCATGTCCTTCACTTTTGATTGATATTTGATCTTTGTCTTTTCAGCACGATGTGTCTCAGACTTTACTCAAGGCAACACTGGACAGTGTTGTGGAAGAATGTGTCAGCTTTGTGGGAGTGGATATTAACATCTGTTCAGAAGTTTTGTTAAGGTGAGACAAGTCTGTGGCTGAAGATCATGGAATCTTGAGTTTAACTGGCTATCTAGTTGAAATTCAGCTAGAACAAGGGGACACGTATAAAGTTGTCAAGTATAGAAAATCTATGAGTTCCTACATTGCTTTAGGTAATCAGTCAGAGGGGAAGACATCATTTAAGAAAAGAATTGTAACCATTCACATTATCATTTTTAATACTGCAAATCTAAAGTGAAGAGCATATGGTAACTATTGAGTGCATTAGTGTCGCTAATAGAATTTAAATAAGGTTAACATGGAAAAGAACTGTTCCCCACCACATGAGAGTAGATATTTTTCACTAATTCAGTCTCTTGCATACATCTGTCAAAGTTGGCAGTAACCAAAAGATAAATTCTGAGGGTTCAAGGTATGGTTACCATATTTTTACCTTGATTCCACAAGTCACATATTAAAATCTCCATGGTATTATGATCACATCGTATGTACTCTTTTTTTTCTTTCTATGGTTATAGAAGAGCTACTCTTTTGTTCATAGTTTTGCATTTATTACACAAGTCTGCTGATGCAGCATGAAATTCTGGACCTCTGGAAAAGATCTGGACCTTTTTACTTTGAAACTGGTATAGAAGAAAATATCCCTTACATTTTAAGATGTTGCTACAAACATTCCGTAATTCCATATACGCAATTCTGTAATAGAATTAAGATTCTCTTAAATGGCAATCTATTAATTAACACCAAGCAAACTACCTAAATATATGGTTTTCATATTTTTATACTAACCATGACATTCATGGATAAGTACCTTTCTATAGTTGAAGTCTTTACATTAATGAGAGCAGGCCAATAAAAAAATAGGATAGTACAATGCAACTGTAGCTATCATAACTTCTGCTGCTAACTCACTTTGTAAACTAAACATGAATAGGCAGAATTATCACTTGATACAGAGATGCAGGGAATGTGACTAGTGTAGAAATACCGTGGGGAACAGTTCTTTTTCTTGTACCAGTGTTAGCCAGTTTACAAGCATCTTTATGACAGCTACTGGTTTTGTCATTATTTTGCATTCTATTGTCCTTCTCTCCTCTTGGACAACTCTTTCCCCTTTGTCTTTTTTATTTAACTCTTTTTTTTATTAACTTGACTTAGAGGCATATGACAATATGTAATGCAGTTTTTATGATACAAATGTTTTATATCATTGTCTTTTCAGATGAGATCTCTTCTTTCAGTACTTTTAAAAGTATTATCCCTGACACATTACTCATTTAGGTTTTCTTTTTGTTTTTTAGGCATATTGCAGGACTCAATGCCAACCGAGCCAAAAATATTATTGAATGGCGAGAGAAAAACGGGCCCTTCATCAACAGAGAACAGCTGAAGAAAGTGAAAGGGCTGGGTCCAAAATCTTTCCAACAGTGTGCAGGCTTCATCAGAATCAACCAGGATTATGTTCGAACATTTTGCAGGTGATTATTAAAATGTACACTTTTGGTTCTATTACGAGCCTCCTGTCTTACTATTGCCTATCCTACTCACTAGCATAAATCCTAGGTGTCTGTTTGTTCATTCCTTCATTCAGTATGTGTTGACTGTCTAATCTTTGCTAGGCACTAGGAATACAACAGGGAACAAATCAACAAATTCCCCGTTCTTGTGGAGTTAAATTTTTATGTGTGAGACAGACAACAAATAAACTAGTAAAATAAATACTTTCAATTTATTTTACTTTTCAATTTTATTTTACAATGTAATAAGTGTTATAAAAATTAAAACAAAGAGCTGTGACACTGTCTTGGGGAACAGTACAACTGCTTTATGTGAGTTATTCATTGAATAGTTGTTTGAGCCGAATTTTGAATGAAGGAAGGAGCCAGCCACACAGTGATCAGAAGGAAAGCATTCCAGGCAGAGCAAACAGTACATGTGCAAAGTCCTAAGGCAGGACCAACTTTGGTGTATTCAAGAAATGAAACTACGGCCAGTGTGATTAGAGCATCACAAGTGGGAAGGACTAGTGCAAGATAAGGTGACTCAGAGGTCTTCACCACGGCCGCTTCATATTGACAGCTTTCCCCACTCCCACCTCACTGAGAACTGACCAAAGCATGAATTATCAGTTGTGTAGATTAAGAGCTAAATTCTTGCTTTCTAATCCTGGTGGCACAAAAGCAAAGAAATCGGGTAGACTTCTTAGCATTTTGTAATCACGAAGGAATAGCTTTTATGTATTTGCTACTTTGGACAACCTGGCTCATTCATATGTATTTTTTTTGCTTCTGATGGAATTATAATAAAGATCATATGGAAAAATAATATTTATTCTGAGAAAGACTAATTAAGGGAAAACCAGCCCCACTAGATAGGAGATTACTTTATAAAGCTATAAGAATTAAACAGTTTGGTTTTGATGTGGAAATAGATAGAGTTTGAAATCCACCAAAACATACATGGAATTTAGTTTATGGTAAAGGGGACATTTCAAATAGTGAGGAAAAATTGATTAATTATCCAATAAATGGTATCGTGACAACTGGCAGGAATTTGGTCTGTGTGGGGGAAGCTTTAGTTCCACCTCATGTCTTGTACCCAAAGAAATTCCAAATGGATCATAGACTTAAATGGAAAAAGTGAAACTATAAATGTACCTGAAGAAAACATTTTGCAGAACATTGGAGTGGTGAAAGTTCTTTCTAAGGAGACTAGAAAACCTAGAAGCCAGAAATGAACAAAATTGAGGATAAAATAATCCCATGTTTCTCAGTTTATATATTTTTGAACACTTGGTTAGAAAATTCAAACAGTACGAAAAAAAATAAAATCAAAAGTAGAGGGCTCCTCAATCTCTCACTTCAGAATAGTTTCTTATATATTACTTCCTGAAAATAAATTTAGACTTATATCAGCTTGTATGTATGTGTTTATTATTTTAAAATGCATGCAGAAGGGATCATGCTGTACAGCTATTTAAAATTTGCTTTGTTTGTTTCATTAATATATCTTGGATCTCTTTCCAAATATTACATATAGATTTATCATGTTTGCATAGTATTTAATTTATGGATGGACAGTAATTTAATCAGTGCCCTATTGATGAACATTTGGGTTGTTTTAAAGTCTTATATTTTTTCAATTGATAATGAAGTACTTGAAGTTTCATGACTGTTATATCTTCTTGATAGATCATACCTTTATTCAGAATGGACTATTGCTATTTTGTTTAATGTTTTTTGCCTTGAAATTATTTTATTTGCTAGGAGTGTTGCTATATTTGCCTTTTCAAAATATGCTTGATTTTTTTTTTATTTTCAAACTTTCTATGGCGTTTAATTTTTTATATGACTTATAAACATATGAATTTAATGGTTTTGCTCAATCTTCTGTTAATACTTTCATATTTATTGATATGTTTGGACTTAATCTTCCATTGTATTACATATTTTCTCTTCATCATACTTTCTGATTCTTTTCTTTTCATGCTGTTTGTTGAATTTATCAGTTGTTTTCTCCTTGTTTTCCCACCTCATCTTTATCTTCCCTTAGTGATTTCAGATTTGTGTATCTTACCTTTATTCTTCTGGTGATTATCCTTAAATGTGATTTGGACTGACCTCCTCCTCCTGGAGAAGACCAGAACTTTAGAACTCTTCCCAACCTGCCTCCCTTAGGCTCTACATCCCATGATGAGATGACCTGGGATTGTAGTTTCAAACTATTCTTTCTGTATATTTTTTTACATTATTCATGAGCAATTATTTAACTTAATAATTTTACGGTTTCCGTGCTCATTGCTGCTTCTTGTAGACCTCATTATGATTTTTCTTAAATTCATTATTTTTGCTGGAGTCTATCCTTAAGAAATTCTTTTCAGAGAGGGTATATTACATGGGTTGTACTTAAGTCCTTGCATGTCTGAAAATGATTTTAATTTGCCCTCTTCTATGAATGCTAGTTTGGTTAGGTATATGAGTCTAGATTGAAAATAATTTTTTCTCAGAACTTAAGATATTATTCCCCTGGGTCTGGCATCTCGTGTTTGTCAAGGAGACAGTTGATGCCAGTCTGATTCTAGTTCCTTTCAAAGTAATCTGTTTTATTTTTCTCTTTTGATTTTTAAAATAATATTCTAAAGTTCCCCTACAATATATCAAATGTGAGTCTTTTTCCATTCATCTCATTTTGCACTCAGTAGGTTCTTTTAATTTGAGAACTTGCGTTCGGTCTTCAGCTCTGGGAAATCATCTTCTCCTTCTCCTTATTTAATTTCCCTTCATTTTGTGTGTTCTCTCCCAGAGTGCCAATTTTACAGGCTGAATCAGTTAAGAATATTTTTTGCATTAAGTAACAGAAATTTCTACTAACAGTGTTTAAACAAATGTGGTAATTTCTATGAAGTGAATGGTCAGAATCTGGTTACTGTTTATGTATATTTGTATGGTAGGGAAATAATCACATTTTTAATTAAAGACTCTTCTTTTCTGCCCAACTTCCCCTCTTCACCTCGCCCCCTGCCATTTTAAATGGTTACAGCAGTCAGCAAACTGAATCTGCAGGTCACATTCAGGGAGTTGCTGTAACATCTTCAGCGGGCGTTGAGGTCACAAATGAGAAGCAGGGCAAGAAGAAGAGCAAAACTGCAGTGAATGTTGTACTGATGCCAAATCCCTTGGACCAAACTTGTATTCACCCGGAATCGTATGACATAGCGATGAGGTAAGTCTGGGGCCCGTGTGAGAGTTCTCCTGCCCAGAGTGAGTTCTCTACAGCAAATGGCCTTTGTTTTGGCATAATGGAGACTTAAGAACATGACCATGTTTAAATGACAACATTTTAGAGAAGTTCCGCATTGCTGAGTAATGTGGCACGTTATTTTATTTCAGTGAGGAATGAAACCATTATTCCTGGAGCAGTGTCAAGCTAATAAACCCTGGTGCTAATGGTGAAGTGTGTGTAATGGAAATTGCATGGCACTCTCCTCTGTTTATTTTGGAAATTAACAAGACACAAATGACTAGCACCTGGCTTAAAGCTTGTGCTTATCTAAAGATAAAGCCCTTTTAGAAGAAAACAGCCAACTCTCAGATTTCTTAAGAAATATTGCCCTGTTTGGTTATTACAGAGTCTAAGAAATGATGTACTTTTAATGTACATACATTAACACAGAATGATATGGGAGGAGATTTTTGAGTACAAGAGAAAGTTTAGTGTAAGGCATTGAAAGAAAAAACTTTTTAATACCATATTTGATTAGTTCAAAAATGTTAATTTGTTCAAAAACAGTGACTTGCTACATAACTAAATAGTTTAAGGCTGTTAGTGATTTAAATGAGAGGAGGTTTAAAAATAATGAATATTTTAGCTTCCATTGAATCTAAAGTGAGATTTTTAACTTATTTTAAAATAGTTTATATTTGATTATTTTAATAAATGTAATTGGTTTCCTTTCTTTTCAAATATTTAAAATTTTAAAGACTATAGTAGTACCTATTTTTCTCCCATTTTATTATGAAAAAACTTAAACTGACAGAAAAGTTAAAAAAAATTTTAAATGAATTTTTATATACCTACACCTAGATTTTACTATTAGCATTTTACACCTGTTTTTCCACTTATCTATCCATTTCTTAGTCCATCATCCATATTATTTTTTTATGTATTTCAAAGAAAAGTTCAGACATCAATACACTTTCAGTTAATACTTCAGCATGCATGTCATTAACTAGAATTCTATAGTTCTTAACAGTTTTTTTTCTTAAATTCACATACAATAAATTTTTAAGAGTTACATTAGCTGAGTTTTGGCAAATAAGTACCTATGTCTGTATAACCCAAAGCCCTATTGAGATAAAAATCATTGCCGTCATTCCAGATTGTTCCCTCATACCCCTTCCCAGACAATCCCTATCTCAGCCTCCTAGATCTAACCACATTTTGATTTTTTTCTGCCAAAGATTAGTTTGCCTCTTCGAGAACTTCTTATAAATGATAACTTACAGTAGTACTTTTCTATGTAAAGCTTCTTTCAGCATAATGTTTAGAGATTTTTATCCATATTGTAACAAGTATAAGTAGCTTGTTCCTTTTTATTGCTGAGTAATATTTCATTATCTGAATGTACCACAGTTTATTCTTATTGAAGGAACCTTGCCTATTTCCAGTTTTTGGCTATTATGAGTAAAGTAACTGTGAACATTCTTGTACAATTTTTTGTTGTTGTTGACATTTGTTTTCATTTATCTTGGAAAAATACCTAGGAAAGGATTTACTGGGTCATAAGGTAAGTGAATGTTTGATTTTCTTAGAAACTTCTGGCTTTACTCCAGTGTAGCTGTACCATTTTACATTTCTGTCAACAATGCAGAAGATTTCTGGTTACTTCGCATCTGTGCCATCATTTGATGTTAGTCTTTTTAATTTTAGCCCTTCTAGTGTGTGTGTACTAGTATCTCTTTGTGTTTTTAATTTGCGTTTCCCTGATGACATTGAGCACTCTCTCATGTTTATTAACCATTCATATATCTTCTTTTGTGAACTATCTGCTCATATCATTTAGCCATTTTCTGAGTTGTTTAAGTATTGAGTCTCGGAATTTTAAAAAATATATTCTGGATACTAGTCGTCTGTAAATACATTTCACAAATATTTTGTCCCTGTTTGTGGCTTACTTCTTTATATTCTTATTGGTGTCTTTTGATGAGCAGAAGTTTTTACTTTTAATGATGTCCCATTTATCAGTTTTTTCCTTCTATAGTTACTACTTTCCATGTCTTAAGAAACCCTTGCCTACCTCAAGTCATAAATGTATTCTTCAGTATTTTGTTCTAAAAGCTTGATGGCTTGAGCTTTTGCATTTAGGTCTCTGATACATCTTAAATTACATTTTGTGCATGATTTGAAGTAGAGATCAAGGTTCATTTTCTTTCTCCATTATGAACATTTAGTTATTCCAGCACCGTGTTTGAAGAACAACAGCACCACTTTCTTTTACTCATTGCTTTGGTACCTTTGTTGAAAATCTGATGACTGTGTAAGTGTGGGTCTCTTTCTGGCTCTCTATTCTGTTTCATTGATCTGTTTGTCAATACCACACTATCTTGACTGCTGTAATTTTATGCCAAGTTTTGAAGTCAGATAGTGTAAGTCCTCCGATTTTTAAAAAATATATTGCTGTAAATATTCTAGATGATTTGCATTTTCCTATAAATTTTAGAGCGAGCTTGCAAGTTTCTATTAAAAAACAAAACAAAGCAAAAAAACCTGGTGGAATTATGATTGGGATTACATTGAGTCTAGCTGAATTTAGGAATAGTTGATGTCTTTGTAATATTTATTGAGTCTTGATCGTGAACTTATATCTTTCCGCTTTTTTAGGTCTTCTTTCATTTCTCTCAGCAGTGATTTTTAGTTTCCAGTGTACAGGTCTTGCATGTATTTTACGTTTTTCAACACTTTGTAAATGGAATTTTTAAATTTGTTCCTAATTGTTGGTAATATGTAAAAATACAATTGACTTTTTTGTAGTAGCCTTGTATCCTGTAGCCTTGCTAAATTCACTTAATAGTTGTAGTGGGTGTTTGTAGATTCTTTAAGTTTTTCTGTATAAACAGTTCTGTTATCAGCAAATAGATGAAAGCTTGACTTCTTTTTTTTTAACCTTCATGATTTTTATTTCTTTTTCTTGCCTATTACAATGGTCAGGACCTTCAGGACTGTGTCAAATAGGAGTAATGAGAGTGGGCATCCTTGTCCCATTCTCCATCTTAGTACATGGTTCTCATTTTTTTAATATAAAAATTGTGGTCTCATATGATAGTAATTGTATTTTTAGTGTTTGTTGTTTGAGAAGATGCATACCTGCACATGGATTTATAGACTTCTCGCAACAACTGACATCTCCATGGGTACTACTAAATTAGCATTTTGTTATATGCAAACCGGTGTCTTTTTTTAATGTACATTTTTGTTTGTTTTCATAATGTAGTTTTAATATGGTTTATAAGATTTTTAATTTGCTTTCTACTATAAGCACACATTTTTTGTTTATGCATATTGTTCTTTATAAAAGGCTAAATAATATTCCATCAAGTGATTGAACTGTAATTTCATAATAGTACTCATAGTGGTTCTTTATGATGGATGCCTAGAAGTAGAGTTACTCTGCCAAAGGATTTGAAAGCTCTTTAGCTCTTGATATATATTGCCAGATACCATAGTGATTTATAAAGCCACTAGCAAGTTTGAAACCTGAGAAATCTTGAATTTCTCCTGTCAGTTGGGATTTTCTGCCAGTTTTCACATGGGCTGCTTTCTCCATGTGGAGCGTAAAAGCCCTACCAGTGACTTCACCTCTCTCTGTGCTTCCTTTGGGAGTAGCATTGTCTTTCAGAAGCAAGGTATTTGTGGCCTAGTTCTTGGGAAATTTCTTTTACGTGAAGTTCAACTCCTGACCTTTAAAATCTGGAGACAAAACTGGTAATTTACCTAATTAAGCTTACCGTCCGCATTATCCACTTTGGAGCTATGGTAGTCATTTCTGGCTTTCACATGTGCTTAGCATAGACATCACTCAACATAGGTAGTTCATACTTTCATATAGTGTTACATAAGTGTCTTCCTAGGGAAGAAAAGCCCATTAAGGATATGGTTAGGTCATCATTGGTTTGACTTTAGTTCTGTAAAAGTAAGTTCCATTGCAGTAAATTCATTTTTAATTATATCAGAAAACCAGTAGGAACATAAATGGGTTTAATGCCACCCCACCATAATATCACTCCCAGAAATACACCAAAATGGGAAGCCGTTAATTCTTTTTACTTTTGTGTTTATGGTATTCTCTTTCACAGTCATATTTTAGAAAATTGAGATCTTGATATTTGTAACCTAAGTTAGTCATTTAGTGTTTTAAAAAAAAGTCTACTTTCTTTTTCTTTTTTTAATTATTTTTATTATTTATATTACTTTTTAGAAGCCTTATTTACATTTACAGTATTCTCTACTAAATATTAAAGTGCTGTGTTGTATGGGCTGAATTTTTTCTTTTATATCTGCTTATAATGCTATCAAGTTTTTGAAAGATGAATGTTTAATTTTTATGAAGTAAACTTATTATCCATTTTCTTGCTTTTGTGCAGATTGGTCTTAAAATACCTGATCTGTAAGATCAGTTCAATGTTCCTCATTTTTTTTAATATTCTTTATGGTTTCATTTTTTACTCTGAATTTTATTGTTGATGATTTTATTCATCGCTTAGAATGTACAAAGCATTGTGGTAGGGCATGAAAAATATAAAAATCAATAGAGGTGATTTATGCTCTCAAGGAGCCATTCAAAATAGGATAAAACTTACAAATAACCATAATAGAGGTTAATAATTAGTATGTGCCCTTTTTGAAACACGAAGGTTGTTCACAGGAGAAAGCTCATTTCCAGATGGGGGTACCTGATAAGGCTTTGTGCAGGAGGTGACATTTGGGCTGGGTCTTTAAGGATTTCAAGCAGCAGAAAGAGGGAAAGAGATGTTTAAAGGATTGGAGACAGGAAAGTATAGCTCAGTCAGGTTTGGGAAGTGGTTAATAGTCCAGTGAAGACAACAAACATTCGTGAGTCCTTCCCACCACCATGCGCCTCAGAAGCCTTGTCTCGTTTGAACCTCACAGCAGTCTTACAGGTTGCTGCCGTTAGCATTCCTCCTCCTTTAGATATGCAGTCTCAG